TTGTACATATATTTATTAGTTTCAGATGTAGCCATTCTTGTATTTGCTGGTTTGTGTTGTTGTGTTTGCACATTTCTGTTGCTTGTGGGGCTCGCACACAAGAATTTCACTCGCAAGTGCTGTGCCAGTGTGCCTGCACATGCGATGTGACAATAAAAGTGATTTGATTTGATTTGATTACACGCATAGTAACTGTTTTTTGTTTATTTGGTGAAGAGAAAAAAATCTAACCACCACGCCTCTAGTTATTATATGCAGTGATAACAAGGGAAACAGGGTTGTGTCTTTTAGTCATATTAGTTGCCAATTTTCAGTCAACTTGCACGCTAATTGGCTTCAAGGTGGACATGGAAAGCTTTACTAGGCTGTTTGATTTGCTATTGTAAATGAGCTGCTGGCTACAGCTTGGCGCACTACTCCAAAAATGATGTCACATGTGGTCTTTAATAAGCACCAACGTTTAGGAGATTTCACTGCACTACTTTTCAAGTGCTTGGGAATAGCAACACTGACTAAAAACACATTCATATTAGGGATCTAATGGAAAAAGTACTTTAATGATGAAAATATGCACACACACAACACACACAAATTGGGGGGTTCTATTCTAGTTCTTGGATTATTCTTTTGGTTGGGAGACTTGACGAGAAATGTAAGATCTTGGAGAAAAAGAAGAAAATGATTGCATCTAAGTAGTTTGTCCATAACACCTTTTAATGGTTTAAATCAGGTTTGTCAAACATGGGGTCCAGGGGACAGAAATCAGCCAGGCAAAGACTCAAATATGGGCCACTGGACATCTTTGGAAAATGTGAAGGAGTACATAGATTTTAAATTTTAACTGTAGTTTCATGGGTTTTACAGTTTTTATTATCAATAAAGACACAAAACACACACACACACGCGTCAGGTTTTCATATCTTATGGGGACATCTAATTGACATGCTTTCCCTAGCCACTTACCCTAACCATCAAAAATGTATGCCTAACCTTAACCCTTAGCATAAGCCTAACCATAACCAATTGTAACCCTGACACTAAAAATACATTTTGAGTCTCAAAAATGTCTTCAAACTCGTGGGGACCGGGATTTTGGTCCCCACAAATATAGTAAACCCCCCACAAAGATATGAAACCCCCCATTAACGGGGTGGGGTGGTGGAGATAGAAGAAAGTTATGACAGCGGCCCAGCATTTACACCTGTTAGGGTCACTTAAACAACCCCCTCCTCCTAACCTGCCTGGTGTTTAGCCCTCTCCTTCTCTAACGTGCAAAGAGATATTATGATCTCAGTGAAACCACGAGACTACAAGATAAGCTTGATGTCATGTCCCAGTAGCTGATCACCGGCGCAATGTATCCTCTTGAACTGAACTGTAAATCTGCCGACAGCTCGGATAGTGAGAATTCTCCTTCAGAAAGAGGAGCTCGGTATTAACACCATGCTATCATTGATCCGTATGTTTAATTTATGAGTGCAGGTATTAGAAATTCTGCAGGATCCCCACCCAGCCCCACATGATACGACTACACAGTGTAAAGCTATCCTGCGGAGTGGCCTTAAGAAAGACTTTTGGCATCGTTTTCAGCAATTCTGCAACACAAGAAAAATAAATAATAAATAAATATTAAATAGTAGTGATTCTGCCCTCCAATTTAGACACAATCAGTTGCATATGCCAGTAGAATTAAATATTAAGTCATCATTAATGAAAATGGAGCACCCTCAGCGTTGAAGGTAACAATAGCCTTCATAAAACAGCACCATGAGGGTTACGGAGAAAACTGTCTCCTCTAGAAATTAAATTTGTTACAATCTTTGTTTCCATCAAGTGTCATCATCACCTCAGAGTTTTACTTCTCCGAATACTTTGGTGTATACCAAAAAGTGCCAGCTTTGTGTTGTTATACTACAGGCGCTGCTTAAGCTCTGCTCACTGATGTTTGACACACTGCTGTGATGTGGGCATGCCTGAAGGCAGCAGCAGTCTTTAGGGACACACTGCCAATTTTTTATTTATTTATTTTTCATTGTTTTACCTCATAAAAGTACGTTTGAGGATCACATCCGTGGCATTTTCTTTGAACGGCTCACTTGCAGCTCATCTTTTCAAGGACTACTGGTGAAATGATACCATTAAGTGCCATGCATGAGATGCTCCCGTGCACACTTCTCACTTTTACATCTGCATAGCAGTGAAACTGTTGAAATGAGCACCTGGAGATTGGATGTTAAAAATACAAACATACAGGGGCTCATGCGCACCATTCCAAACAAGCAACATACATTTGCTATTTTCAGGCCGGGCTCGTCGCTGAGACCCAGCGGTGATTAAAGCATACCACTGGCTGCTAAGCGCTGCCCTTGGTGGCCTCCCTCTGCAAAACGATAGCCTGCCAGCCTGATGACTAGCAGACACCCTGTGAACCACCTGATCCCCCACTACTAAACTGGCTGACCTGACTGGAACCCGGAGAAGCAGCTGATGCCCAAGACTAGTGAAGGACACACTGAACTGGACCAATTCTGGGCTAACTCCTCTCCGCACATATTCCACAATGTATTTTTGGCAGCAATACGTGTTTTTTGTGTGTTTTGTTTTGTTTGTTCTTTTACATTCAAGATAAACAAGTTTGAGAGTTTGGGAAGTACATTTATCTGTGGCAACGTAACGCAAACAGGACGGTCAGGAATAACAGGAAACTCCTAGCCTGGATTTCTCAACATAAAGGAATCACACGAAGGGTATCTTTAAGGAGTAAAAACGGCTTCACTCTGCTCATCCAAGAGGCTTCATCAGTTCTAAAAACAAAAGCTGGAGAGCTCCAGGTATTTAACCCCTATTCGGTATCGTTCCCTTTGGAGGTGGTCGTTGACCCACTTGTAGGTCATGTGTGTCATCACATGAGCCAAGGTGTGAAAAAAGGTGTGGGTCATTATCATGTTATCAACTCAGGTCACCCTAGGCAAGTTGTGACAGGGGTTTGACGTGCCTGGGAAAGGATATAAAACTGCACTGTAGGCGGCTGAAATACCCAGGTTTAGAGGAAGTAGATGTTTTTGTCAAGAAACGGTTACACCAAAAACTTTGAAGTGAAACTGCACAGTGTTGCTTTTTCCTCCCAGTTTGCACTTGTATCAGATACGACATGTTATGCTGCATAAAAAGAGCCAGTCTAGGCCGTGGCCATTTCCAGCGTTGAGCTATTTGCCTGCAGGCTTTTGCCGTAACGCTCAATATATCAGGAAATGCACAACATTGTATCGCAGAGACTTCAGTGAGAAGATTGTTAGATCCATGAGCGAGCACCCAGTTAGGTTAGATAAGCATAAAGTCTGTAAACAGACATAAGCAGCTATCTGCTACTGGTTTGACTGAAGCCTATTAAAGTACACATACGCTGTTTGTTGAGCAAGTACACAAAGGGAATTGTAGACGAGCCGCAGTTTCGCTGGAGGTCATAAGCCAAGACGCTTTTCCTCGCAACCAAGCAGAGAAACCAGATTTCCCCAAACCTCTTAATTCTTTCTAGAAGTTTTTAAAGAAAACTTTCATCATTGAATAATTATTTCCCCCGCATTCAACAAACAGAGCACCCGCTATCTTTTAGAAGATAAGGCATAAGCCGTTTTAGATATTTTATTAAACTGTGCGAGCGCTCAAATATATGAAAGCAAAACAGCTCTCTGCT